CCGTGAGTGGTGTTTCCGGAATGAGCGCAACATGTCTTTCAGGCCTGCAGAACTTTGCTTTTACACCTCTGAGTGCCTCAAGTCAGACCGCTTGCATGCCAGCAAACACCTCACTGGCGCAGGGAAGGATGAAGTTGGCGAGGGGCTGGCATGGACAGACTTTGCCCCAGGCACTCCCAAACGTGTCGTTGTCCAGTCTGTGGCCCCTAAATTTGTTCCTGTGCCTCCTCCAAGAATAGTGAATGAAGATGCTGAGTCAGAGGACTTAGCGCTTGCAGACTTGCCTCCTGTGCCAATTGTGAAGCGACCTGCAGCTGCTGTGAAGTCAGTGCCTCGGCGACCACACAAGCGGCCTGCAGCAGCTATGGATGAGCCGCCTGCTGGTTGTGACGCAGAGGCATCAGAGGCAGAGGCAGAGCCAAATCCAGTGCGGGCCAGGCCAAGTGCTAGCCAGGCGATGTTGGGCCGACCTCCCTATGGTTGCTCCAAGCGCCGCTTCAAGCGAGGCTGCAATACATGCAAGAGGTTTGCGCCTGGTTGCGGGCCTTAATGCTTTGCAGCCAGAGAGAATCAAAGCGACTGTCATGACAGCTTTAAGAGCTGCCATCATGACGGGCTTGAAATTTGAATCCCTTTTCACTGATGGTGGTACAGTTGGGGGCGGTAGGCACTTCTGAATCATTGTGGCTTCCAAGGTACCACGCTGTACAGTGATTAGGCTCAGCGAGAAAACAAAAAGCAGATTTGAACACATCAAAGCAAGACAAGTTAACAAACAAAGACAAAACAAGACCAGTCAAAAACAAACAAAGACAAAACCAAGACAAATCAAAAACAAAACAAACACAAAGACAAGATAGGTCAAAACAAACAAAGGCAAACACAAGACATGTCAAAAGCAAACAAAGACCAAAAACAAGACAACTCCAAAACAAACAAAGATAAAAACAAGACAGGTCAAAGCAAACAAAGACAAAACTAAGACAATTAAAGAACCAATAAAAGACAAATAAGACAAGTCAAAAACATCCATAGACAAAAACAAGACAGGTTAGGGTCAGAAACAAACAAAGACAAAATCAGTCAAAAAAAACGAAGCCTGACAGGTGGACTTGGTGGAGTGCTACAGCTTGGCCTTGGTCCACTGTGGAGGACTGGTTGGTCAGTCAGTTGGAGACAAGACAGTGCAACTTTCCTTGGAGACAAGACTTCGCTTTTCCCCAGTCAGTTGGAGACCACAACTTTCCTCAGGACGTCCATTGCCTCTGATTTTCTCCAAAGGCACCTTTTTTGGGGGGGGAGAGCAGCAGAAGTCTGAGTTTGAGAGGGTCTGACTTTTGAGTGTCTGTCTCTTTGACGTTTGAGTTTTTGAGAGTCTTCAAAACCTGACTTTTTGGTTTTGTTGGTTTGCTTGTTGGCAGGCATCCTTTGATGTGGGTTGTGGAGCGGTGTAAGGCCTGGCTGTCCTGGCATCCCAGAAACCTTGCGCGTCTTAAGTTGGTGAACGTGTGAAGGGCTCAACCTTTAGAGAAAGTGAAATTTTGATGGTCTTGTTGTAAAATGCAGTTATGAATGCCAACATGCAATGTTCTCTCATCGATTGCAAAACGGCCGGCAGGTGGAGATTGGAGATTCCTTTGTCCAGCGTCCATCTCGAGGCAGGCGGCAGGCAAGGTCATGCTCTTGTCAGGTGAGTCTTGCTCTGCAATTGGGTCATTCAAAAAACAATCCCCAAGTATGTCAACAGCTGTTTTTTTTGGAGTTGAGCTTGCCGCCAACTTGTCGATGTTCAGAGTTTCAAGCAGGTTCATACATTTTGTAGTTCTGGCCCAACTTCATAAAGGTAGTGTAACCTGCTCTTTGCCCCCAAAAGCACTCAAACGTGGCCAACCAAAAGCCTGCAAAGCAACGCTGGAGGAACATGCTGGTACACCTTTTGGTCCTGAGCGTGCAAGAGCTGACCAGGAAGTGGCATCGGGTGAGGCGCCAGAACCAGCAGCATGTCAAGACTGCCACCCCCCAACCTCAGAATCTGCCAGCTCCAGTTACCCCAGAACCTGCAATTTGAAGGATTTTGAGATTGAATCTAGAAAGGGATACAAGTTGTTTGTTTTTTATTGATGCCAAATGGATCTGGAATGTGATCTCTAAACCTTGAGACTTGACAGTTCAATCCGATCAAACACCAAAATTTAGAGCTTGACCTTTACTTGTCAGTGACCGATCGCTGAAACCGCACTCTTGGGAAAGACAGTTGAATAGGTTTTATGTTTCCTTCAACGACAGGTGTTCATAACATAGCTACACTTGTCTAACTATGAACTGTCTGTGTGTGTGCATGTGTCTAATGGCACGTGTTCTGTTCAGTTTCCCGGCTTTGTTGGTTTGGACAAAATTCCAAGCACAACCACTGCACACGCCAATGGCAGGCTCTTGCTTCCACTTTCTGCTTACCTTCTTTTTGACCAAGTCCAGGCCAGGGAAATGGCAAGGGCAAGGGTGTGGGCTGGAGCGTTGGAGGTTTTGCTAGTGGCTTAAAAGGTTGTTTCCAAGAGGCTGTGCTGCAGACATTGGCTTCATACAGACAGAGGCATTTTGTTTGCCATGGAGTTGCCGCCTGATGATTTGTGTGATGATATATTCAACCAGGTGACTCGCAAAAAGAAATCATTGAAACGACCAGCAAGCGCTTGTGTCAGGGTGGAGCCTGTTAGTCTCTCTGACTCCAAGGGCCTGGTGCAGTTGCCAAGTGATGACAACTGCCTCAGTCTGGTGTTCGCTGGCTCAACTGACAGCACTGCCAAAAGCCTGGGCCCGGTCAAGAAGCAGCAGAAACCTCAGTCACCAGTCATCATTCAGTTGCCAGATGATGATGATGGTGAGGAGTGGGGCGCTAGTGCCCCACATGAGAGCAAGACAAAGGCCATGGTCAGGAATCGGGGTAAGCCTCGCAAGCACGGCCTGTTGCCAGTTGTCAGCAACCCTTCTTGCACGCCGCTTGGGTGCAAAGAAGTGCTGATGGAGTTCTTCTCCCCGCCCCGGTTTGTTGTGGAATGCCAAGCCAGAGGCTTACCTGCTACAACATCGTGGGACCTTACGCTTGGCTGGAATGCTGACAATCCAGGTGATCGACAAACAGCATGGCAAGCGCTTGAAGACCAAGACCCATGGCTGACCACTCTCAGTCCAGAGTGCACTATGTTCTCCATCACGCAGCGAAACTGCAACATCAAGAAAATGGACCCCGTTGAAGTGGCACAGCGAATGGCAGTGGCAATTGAGCACATGGACTACTGCATTGAGATTTGCTTTGACAGGAGCAGGAAAGGAAGGGTGTTTCTGTTAGAGCACCCATCCACTGCATCGTCCTGGAATCTGGACAGCGTCATTGATGCATGTCAGCGAATCCCTGGTTGCAGAATTTGTTCTTTCGCCCAGTGCCGTTATGGCTTGAAAAGTCCTTCAGGTAAGCCAATGCAAAAGCTCACAAAGTTTCTCACAAACTCTGTGGCAATTGCTCAAGAGTTCCATGGAAAGACTTGTCTTTGCAAGAGTCAAGGCATCGAGCATCAGCCAATAGAAGGCACAGACCAGGGGCGCAGCCTAAGCACATGGGCGCAGGTCTACCCCAAGCCACTCGTGAAAGCTGTGGTGGATTGCGCCCAGCAAGAGTTTGTGTCACTGGCGTAAAGCCTTTGATAGCTACTTTCAGTGCAGTGTTTCTAGAGACTTGCAAGGCTTTTTTGTTAAGTCTTGCTACGTGTGGGCGCGATGGGGGAAAAGGGATTTGGGGTGTTCAATCGCCGGATCTATAGTTTTTGTCGGATATTATCTTTTGGTCGGATTTTGTGTATCACCGGATTTACAATTTTCGACGGACATACACAAGCCACCAACATCAGAAGCCAGACTGTAACAGATTTCCCTGTGCAAGGTTCATGCCCCCCCAAGATCGCCTGGATAAAATTTTATCACCTTGGATCTTGATGCTGGGCCTTGGATCCTTCAGGTTTGCAGGTGGCTAGTCCTTGGAGGGTTGGAACAGCTGGATTCTAGGAATACTTGGAAGAAGCAAGGTGATAAAATTTTATTCAACAGATGTCTGCTTGTTACATGTGGCAACCCCAAAATGTGACATGGCTGCTTTTGAAGGCTTATGACATCCGGCGACAATTTGTGATCCGTTGATTGTTGTGATCCGTCGAAATTCTGAGATCCGTCGATGTGCACCGATCTGTAGGTTTTACCATGTGGAGCCTTGACCTTGAAACAATAAACTCTTCAATTCAATGCAAAAGACCAAACTTATGTATGAGGGTTTCACAAGGCAATGACTGCCAAATAGATGGTACTTCAGTTTTTTCTTGTGTAATGTCAGGTGGCAACGCTGAACATGGCCGATGTGATTCTTTTGCAAAGGCCATCCAATCCGGAGTGAGGCGTTCAACTTGGCAAGTTTGTTTGAGCAAGCTGTAGGATGTTCAGAGTTTGCAAGGGGCTGGTGGTGGGCATTGCGTGTTGAGTTTTTTGCAAGCATGCCACACAAGCTTCTGGTTTGAGTGTGTGTGTGTGTGGACCAATTCCTCATTGTTGTTGAGTGAGTTTGTGGAATATGAGTTTATATGAAAGCAATAGGGCAACTCAAAAACACATGTTGCAATGAGTTTGCAAGTTGACTTTGTGATAGATTTGAACGTCCATTTGCTGCTTTGCCAGGCAAATTTTGGGCACAACAACCTACCACAGGCATCAGCGCACTTTGGGGATTCCGCTTTGAAAGTGTCGGAACATTCAGATGTTGTTTTAGGCTTTGTCAGGTCCTTAGGTTCCAAGTTTTGATTGCTTACATCGTTTGGCTGTTCTGTTTCTTTCTGTCATCTTTGAGGGTTGCATGACATTCCTTTGGCCCTGCTGTCTCAAGCAACACCTGGGCGCAATCTTGTGCGTGGGAAGTGGAGTTAGCAATTTTCGCAGGTTGACGGCTTTGATCAAAGCCACTCATGGCTCTTGAAGTGAAACAAGAGGTCAAATTGAATGAAGCTGAGCAGCCTGCCCAGCCAGTAAGTCCAAAATCCACAGCAGCTGACAGTGCAATGCTGCACTTTGAAGAGGCCGTTTTGCCAGAGGTGGACAGTACTGGCATTGAGCCGTTCAAAGAAAGTGTCTTGAAGGCTTTGCAGGAAGTGCTGGACCGTTTTGGGTCTGTAACCAATTTCCTGCAGCAGCACCATGGCTCCCCAAGAGAGATGCAGCAGTTGGCCAATAGCCTGCATCACTTGTGCCAAGAAGGATGGACTGAGTGGAAGGTGGACGCCGCCGCTTTGACAGCTTGCTCGCCTGAGTTGAGGGACGCTCCAAGTATCCAGCTTCCTTTGGCAGCCTTTGGTTTTGGACCAATGTGCAGTGTGAGGTCTGTGCCTGACAACCACACTGTTCTTGAGATTGCCGAGAGCATCTTGAACGATGGTTTCATGTCCACGAATCAGCCAGTCATGGCTATGCAAAGCGCTGACATCTTGCAAAGTGCAAACATTGCAGGTGTTCACCCACCATGGACTGGCAAGCTTTTGCCATTCTCAGTTGGATTTTCCAAAGGGAGAACGCGCATCCATGCTCTCTTGGCCATCGCCACCATTGTTTTTGACAATGGAATCGATCTGAAGAAGGCTTGGAATGGACAAGAAACTGTTTCATCATGTTTTGCATGTCTTTTCATGTTGGTTGTAATGGTCTCAAGAACTCACTTTTTGAACCACCATTTCACCAACCTGGGCAGGTTCATCCCCAGCTGGCCAAGTCGATGACTTGCATTCATGTGCAAGTGTTGGAGCACGCATCAAAACAGCAGGAACTTATCTACAACTTCAAGGAATCCAGCCGTGGCTCATTGAGGAAGCCGCCAAGTATCATGACTTGGGCGCAATCGATCAAGCAGCTGAGAGATCAAGGGGCAGAAGTTGATTTGCCTATGATTATCAAGAAGTTCAATGCCGGGACCAACAAATCCCTGCAACTTGTAGGGGCCAAGGCAGTGTCAGTGCGGAACTTGTTGGAATCTGTTCCATCAGAAGCCCTTGCAGTGGTTGAAGGGCATGTTCAAAAGCTTGGATGGGCAAGCAGCTGCTTTTCTGATGATTGCCTCAGCTCAAAGCGCATCCTCCCGACTTATGTGTTCAGGCATCAATGTGGTGGATGTTGGTCCAAACTTGGCAAGATGTCTGATGAGGCTACATTGTTGCTTTTCCGACATGTCATTGCTCTGTTTGAAAGCAGCCCTCCAGGGGCCAGAAGAACCTTCACCAAAGATGAGTTGGAGTCCAAGGCTGAGGAAGCGGCTTTCATCATCAATGCCGGCATGTTGGCGCAATCGGAGGTTCCCTTTTCAGATGACCTTTTGAAGGAGAAGTGGCTAGATCCCTATGCTGCTGCCGATGCCACTTTGGTTTTGGAAGTTCAGTGCACTCTTGGCCAGAAAGATCCTCAGTTCCTGGTTCGGACCATGTCCAAGCTGAAAGAAGCGTGCCAAACTCAGTGTTTTATCAAAAACAAATGGAAAGAATCATAAGTCATAGACACAGGAAAGAATTGCACCGGCAGATTTGCACAAGTGTTTCTTCTTTCTTTTTTTTTTGCAGGGTTTTGTTTTGTTCTATTTGAGGATGGACTGCCATGCGACCAACCGGCCAGTCGGTGACACTGGGTCTGAATCTGTGCACATTGCCAACCTCGAGGCAGATGCCTTTGAGTTGCTCAAGAAGAGAATTGAGTATGATTTGAAATGCCTGAAGGCTTACCGCTCGAAATTAGAAAGCCATGAAACAGCAGAGTTTCATGCCCAGCTGACACACCGGAAGAATGCTTACGATGCTTCTGTGACAGCTGCAAAGAAGCTATTGGCCGCCAATGTGAAAGTGCTCACCACCAACCAGCTGCGCACTGTCATGCAGGACTACAACAACTTTGTGGACCAGTTTTGCAAGGCCTATGGTTTGCGCAAGGATGCAGTGGTTCAATCCTTAGTGAGCTGAAAGGAATGACCAGACAACATGACATGTCAATTTGTACAGTTTTTTGTTTTATGAACATTTGTCACATACTTGAGGTCACTATATCCTTCTTGAACTGGTCTGCCTTATGCCGGGTGAACAACGAGAGGCAACAATTGCAAGCTCGAGCCCTTGCCATTGTGAGCAATGCTCACAGTGGGACACGAAGCCTTGCAGTGGTGATACTACCATTGTTCGGCTATCAAAAAGGCCAATTGTTATGCAGGAACATCACTGCTTAAAGACGCTAAGCAGTGCAGGGCTTCACGTGGATCGAACGTTTACACTTCCGTTTGTGAGCAGGCATGATGCGCGTGACACCCGCCCTCTCAATTACCATGGGAGGGTATTGTCTTCATTGAGCCTCACCGAGAAGGATTGGGCCTTCAAGAATTCCAGCATTGTCCGCAATCAGCGCTGCGAGGCTGCAGATCAACTACCATCGGCTCAGATGATCTTTGTAGAAGACATGCAGCCCGACGCCATGCCATGTACAACAGACCTTGACGGGTTGGTCTCTGGCGCAAAGAAATTTGAGCAAATGGGAAGTTCTGCTTACGCTCGCATGCTGCAAGCGTGTCTCGATGGAGCAAACATTCCTCCCAAGGGCGGTGTGATTGTCCTGGATGCATCATTGTCAGTTGGAGACTGTTTTGATGCTTGGATGGATGTGAAGGGTGATTGGCAGATCCCCAGTGCCTACATTGGTCTTGCAGAAGATGCTGTGGTGGGTGAATGGTTCACAAGAACTCGTGAACAAACTTTGGCCAAGAAGCACATGAACGGGGACATCTCAATTCCTGGCTGTCCTCGAGTTGAGGCCGATTTGCCTGAGGAGCACAAGCACCAGACGCCTCCTGTTCCTACTTTGAGTGTCCTGCAGCCAATTGGCCCCAACAAGACCTACCCTGGCATTCCGGAGTCGTTGACCAAGGACAAGACTGTTCTGCTGTGTTTCTGTGATGTTTCACAAAAGAAAATTTGGTGTGTGTAGGAACTCTTTGTTAGCTCTTACTGTATTTTTCCCATTGAAGATTTTGCCAGGAATGGGGTGCCCACCCTGTGTTTGGGGATGAGTTCCGTGCAATCATGGACAAGATCATTGAAGAGTATGGTGCGCCCCCAGCTGCTGATCAAACCAGTGATGGCAAAGGTCAGGGAAAGGGCAGAGTCAAGCAGGAGAAAAAGAGGCATGGTGAGGGAGATGGCCCTGCCAACAAACGCTTGAAGGGTGTTCAACTTGGTGGTGGTGGCTCTGTCAAGCAGATTCCGCTTGCTGAGATCGGTTCTGAGCACGTTTTACTGGAGACAGACATGGTCAACCAGAAGTGCAAAGGCCTCAAACTCCACATCAAGCTGGGGCAGAAGATCTACATCATCAACGCAAGTGCTGCGCCTTGCAAGCTGCCTTCTGGCTACATCGTGGCAGGCTTTGGGAAGGGCAGTTACAAGCAGAAGACGCACGGGGAGACTGCAAAGGACAAAGAAGTGTCCTATGCAATTGGACCAAATTCCTTGGTCTTGCAGGGAGCAACATTGACCAATGTGAAGACCATGGTCAACACAAAACAACAGCAGGACCCCTGCGCCCAGATTGCTTACTATGAGATCTCAGAGGCAGCCAACACGGATGACCCTGAAATGTTTGAGATGAAGAACACAGTGCCTCTTGTCTTTGTTCCCACTGGCCAGTTGAAGGCAAAGACAGAGACTGGGGAGGAAGGGACTGAAGTGCTTTCTGCTGACCAAGTGTCAGCCGCCCGCCTTCTTCCTGTTGCCGCCTGGGAGCAACGCAGCCTGTGCTCATTGGTCTGGTGTGTGAGGTGGGCCCCTCAAGGATTGATGCCTGTCCGACCGGTTGTGGCATTGCATCGCGAGGTGGTGATTGAGCCTTCGCACGGCGTTGCTTTGTGAAGCAACTTGCTGGGGCTAGGTTGAAGTAGGTTGGCAGGCATGCAGCTGATTCTCAAAAGCTTTGGGGTTGCTGAATCAGGCCCATTGCCTTTTCCTGCTTAAGGCCACTGCAGACCAGCATGGACTGCACCATGTCTAGCAGCACTGTACAGCTTGTAGGCCCCTGTGCATGCTCCCTTCCAACAATTGTGATGCATGAGCAGAATCATACCGCTGTCAAGACTGGTGCGAGAAGAACAGAGAAGCGCAGTTTCTCCTTCAATTGAGTTCTCTTTCTTCTGGTCATTTGGCATTGTTTTTCAATCGTGCGTCGAAGTTTTGGTGGCCAGGTGTTTTTGTGAAGATGATGCAGGCCAAATTGCAGATAGCTGCAAGACTTTTTTGGGGGGGGGATGGTCAAGTCTTTGCTGAGAGAGATGGATATCAATATTATCTGGCTTAAAATTGCATATTTTGTTTTGGGCGCTTGTAGCAGACTGAAACCAACAAAGTGCAAACGTGTGCTTTTTGAAGCTTGTGACGCTTGTGTTCTTAGATCTTCCCCACTGCCAATGGAAGCGACAAACCTCAAGCTTTGATGTGTTTGTTAGGTAAACTGTGTTCTTCTTCACAGGCACAATGATTATGTTAGGCGATTGTTTTCTGCCATTGTTCTTCCTGCCAGACCTGCTCTCTGATGCGCTGAGCTCTGGGCACCGACCGTATATAGGACAGCTGCTGTGAACCGTGGCCACATATTCTAGGACTGTGATTGAGAAGTAATGTGTTGAATCGCAACAGTTTCAAAAAGAAGTAAGCCCTGACCTGGGAGTGTTCTACTGTGAAGTCATCTTTGTGTCCACGGCTGGCTGAATGCACTGCGTACATCGGAGTGTTGGGCATCATCGTGTGCTTTAAATAGAAAGGAAGAACCCACACGTGTTTTGTGAGTCGGTACTGCATCACACACACAGACACACACACACACAATGCAAGTATTTCTACATGTGGAAAAGCTTTTGGTTTTCTCTGTGCAATTAGAGCAAAAATCCCAAGCATTTTTCTCGTGCAGAATGCATTCAAAGGCGGCGCCCAAGGATTGCTCCACTTTGTGGGGCCATCCTCTGGTGGGTAAAGCGTTGGGCAGCTGGTGACATCAGGTGCTAGTCATTGCCTTGTCCAAATTTTCAAGGACAGGGCTGAGGGTAGATTTGAAAGCATGGCGTTGCCGCTGGTGGGTTGGAATATCATAGTTCTCATCCAGGGTCCTGCAACTGGTACCAGTGATTGCTGATACTATACTGGTGCTAATTTTTTTGGATTTCATCATTGTCACCAGTGACTTTTTCATGGAGTGAGTCCCAACTTTGGTGAGATCCAGGTCTTCGCATGGGTGAGGTTGTCCATTCTGTTGTGCCAGCTTCTGCTCATGCGCCAAGCTCTTGCGCGCTGCGTGGATTGCATCGAGATAGGCCTTTTCAGCGATAGGTTTGGAGAAGTCTCTTTTGTTCACCCCTCCAAGCACACGGCCCGGGAACAAAAGCTGTGCAGCGCCCGATGCAAAGGCTTTTTTGAGATCTTGATGTAGGAAAGGCCATTGTTTTCCTTGGCTTTCCAATGGTTCACTGGTCATCCAGCCCCAGAGTAGCTCAGCGAAGCCCCGGTCAAGTGGAATGGTTCGCTCTGTGGTCTTCAGATTCACATGTGGTATGTGGCAAACAGGCAGGGCCAAGGAATGAGGCGCCATGTTTTGGAACCATGTAGAGGAAGCCTGTCTGGCAGCATCAGCGCGTTCACCCAGACATAGCTGTAGCACCATCAAAGCTGCAGCCCATGGACATTGGTGTTTCAATGTCGCAAAGAGACATCCCAATTGCTCCGGTGTTAGAGGCTCCCGGCCCCCCCTTTTTACAGGAGCTGGCTTGACAAGGCATTTGTCCAAATGACGCTGGCAACAGAATTTGACTTTCTTGACATGCGATCGTAGGTTGCGACATAGTTCCAGAGCTACCTTTTCCACAGCTAGTTCGAAGGGTTTGTTCTTGACGTCAATGCCAGTGGTGCATTTCTTGAACCCACATCCAATTTTGATCTTGCTCATAGGTTGCCTTTCTGGTCCTCGCTGCGGTTGTTTCATTTTCCTTTGCCTCTTTGCCATAGCTGCGCACTACAGGAAAGACCCAGCAGATAGTGGAACACAAGTTTAAACATGTTTGTGCAGACATGTGCAAACGCATGTGCATGTTTGTGCTGTTTGTTGTCAGACTTTGGTGGTTTCATGGTTCTTCTGAATCAATGGTGGGAAGCCAGAAGTTGTCAGCGAGCGTGGCGATCAATATGTTTAGACACAAACAAGACTTCCAACTTCGAAAGCAGACTTGGTGTAAAAGTCTTGTTTTTCTGGCTGCCCCTCACAGCTGTGG